TTTCGGATGTTTTCTTGGTATAATCTATCTTTATTAGTAAAATGATTTTCCGGGAATTTTGCTTGTGTTTCCCTGTAAATCGGAAGCGCTGTGTGAGCCGGATAAAACACATTAACATTTATATCATTTAGTTATATTAAAATTTGATAAATTCTACTTTTATTTAAAAGTTCAAAGGGGAGTTTTTTTTTTTTAGAAAAAAGAATGCTTTATTGTTAGCAGTAGTCCCCGATTGGTTCTGTTCGACTTAGTCGATAGATCATTAAAGCCGTTACCCGGGTCGAAAAGTAGCGACTCGGGTCAAAAATTTTCGACCGGGTTATGACCCAGGTTAATAGTCACATAGGTCAAGCTTGATAACTTTGATAATTTACAATTAAGTTAATTATGTTGTAGTATGTTGTAGTATAATGGTGTATGTGTTGAGGTTGCCCTGAGATATAAATATTTAAATTGGAACTTCTTGGATTTTACATCAAAAAATTTCTCATCCTTGCTCATAATTTATTTTCCTACATTGGAAAACGCCAATTTATTAAAATTTAATTGACCCGGGTCAATGCAATTTTTGATCCATAACCCGTCAAGATGCTGACTCGTATGAGTAAACTTGGCCCGGATAACATCATGAATTTAAAGAAAAAATAAATAACGATCGATAAAAAGAAAAAAAACTGCGGTTTGAATTTTAATTATTTTTGTATTAAAATTCTGCCGTTGCCAGGAATCGAACCTGGGCTAGCGCGGCCACAACGCGATGTACTGCCACTATACGACAACGGCCTTATTTACTAATCGTTTGAGTTTATAAATATTTATATACAAATTATATTTTAAGGTTGTACAAATGCAAAATGATATCCCTGCGGATAAAAAATATCTAGATCAAATCAGTAAATGAATTTATATAAAAAAAGTTCTCTCATACTCAGCTGATAACTAATACGTTCTAAGTAAATTTAAAAAGCCTGAAACTAGTTTTTTTTTAGCAATTATGTTGCATTTTCTCAATAAAAGCCCTGCTTTTTTGTTTTTATTTAGAGCTTAGAGATGTCTTTCTCAAGAAGTTTTTTTAGCCAGGGGTTTCACCTTTCGTCGGGGGTTTCGTCTTTTGCCAAAGGGCCTAGCATTTCGCCTTTCACCGGCTTTAGGTTTCACCCTTCTCCATTTAAGAAAATAGCTTCTCTTAACAACTATATTTCGAGGTCTAAGTATACACTTCCAGATCTCCCATATGACTATGGTGTAAATATTCAATTTTCTTTTTCATTTTGGTCGGGTCTTTCAAGAGTTTTGCTAGTTATAGCAGCTTTGTGATATAATTTATCTATGCTCGATTATATTTGTAAAAAGGCTCTTGAACCCTTTATTTCGGCCGAAATAATGCAAATTCATCATAGTAAACATCATCAAGCGTATGTTAATGGACTTAACATGGCCGAAGAAAAATTTGAACAAGCGTTTAAAGATAAAGATGTTACTGCACAAATTGCTATACAATCTACATTAAAATTCAATGGTGGAGGTAATATATGTCAAACTTATGATTTTATTGTATCTTTATCAATATTATAAAATTCATCTATTTAAAATTTTTTTTTTAGGTCATGTTAATCATTCCTTATTTTGGACAAATCTCGCACCCACTAAAGAAGGTGGTGGTGAACCTCCTAAAGGTGTGTGTCGTTACCGATGAATATAATAACTGAAAAAGATCGTTTATTCAATGGGTATTAATTTTATAGGAGCTCTTCTTAGCGCTATCCAGAAAGAATTTGGAACTCTTGATGAATTCATTAGTAAATTTAACACAACAACTGCTGCAGTTCAAGGTTTGAGTAGTTTATTTATTTATTTTACTGTATTTATTCTGTATTTATTTATTTATTTTTTTAAACAAAAATTTATTATTAATTCACACTATATATATATATTTGCAATTTAAAATTTCAAATTTACAGGATCAGGCTGGGGTTGGTTGGTGCGCATAGTATTTTTTATATACTATTTTTATAATTTTAGTGTAATAATTTTTTTATAAACGATAAATATTCCCCTAAATTTCATAGGGTTATAACAAAAATAGTAAACGACTTGAAATTGTGACACTTCCAAACCAAGATCCTTTAACAAGTAAGATTTGAAATTCGTTATTAAGTCATAATTGTCTATTTACAGGTTTAAAACTTTTCTTTGAAAATATTAGCTCATGTACCTCTCCTTGGCATTGATGTCTGGGAACACGTATGCATACCATTTGTTGTAATAATTTTTTAAGATAATTCCCCGATCACTAAGTCAATATCACGGGGGATTAGTAATAATAATATCCTGATCCGTTGGGAATTAGCGAAGTTTCCGCTAATTCACATACGGTCAGGGTATTATTAATTAATCCTCCCGTGATCTTGAATAGTGATCGGGGGATTATTATTATTACAAATACCAAGGTTATTTGTAACCAAATGTTATATTTCAGGCCTACTACTTGCAATACAAAAATGTTAGGCCTGATTACTTGAAAGCCATTTGGAATGTGGTTAATTGGAAAACAGTAGCTGAAAGATTAGCAAAGGCTCAGTCGTCTTCCGAATGAAATTATTGAAATAAAGGTAAATACAATAATTTTTTAATGAATTTTACAGGTATGTGCATTATCATTATGTCAATTGGCTATTAAGTTGCTTCCTAACTTACTATAACATTTTAAAGACTTTGTGAAATACTACAAATGACTATCAAATGAATCAATTTAAATGTGAATAAATATAAAAAATTATTTTATAAAAAAAAAAAAGTGTCATAATTTGGTTGTTTTTTTTTCTTTTGTTCAAAGTCCATATATATATTCATTTTTTTTTTTTAGAAGAAAAATCCAGTTTAAAAAAATAAAATTAAATAATTACACATTGTAAAGATTTTTCTTTTATGAAATAATATTAAAATATAATAATAATGAACAAAAGAGAACCTTTACACAAAAGGGTTGGGTAGGAAAAATCAAAAATTACTTTATCACATACCAATATAGCAATCAGTAAAAATATCTTTATACATTATGAGCGGCATCTTCTGCTGATTCACCTTGACTACTTGAAACATCCACTCGACCACTGGTACTACTACTTCCTTCACCACCATTATTATTGTCATTATTATTTGTATTTTTTCCCTTTTTATTACTTCGTTCGTTAGCCATTTCAACAACATCCATACGACACATTGGGCATCGTCTATTCAACGATAGCCACTCGTCAACACAATCCTTATGAAAATGATGTGAACACCATAAATTCCGTAGTTCATCACCATCTTCGTACGCTGACAGACAGATAGAGCAGACAGCGTCATCGGGATTAGGAATGGTAAGCGTTTGTTGTGCGACTGGCTGATGATGAGAGCCTTTGTTTTTACTTCCGAATATATTAAATCGAGATTTTTTAGGTGTTGAAGGTATTGGTTGATGACTTGATTCTGTCTGTGACACTGATACAATGGTATCAGTAGATTGACTTTCTGATACATTAGAATCTCCTTGAGTTGCTTTAAACTTTGCTAATGGAATTTTTTGAATTATATCATCACTAGCACCGCTAATTCCAACAGCATCCCCAACATGAAGGATTCTCATTGCAACTAATACGCATGGTAAACAGAAAATAACAGCGAGGCATAATAATATAGGAATAGTGATTACGATGTATCCAAGAATAACCCATGTTAAAGAAAGAAAGAAAATTTCAGGTGCTTTGGTCGCACAATTTTGAGTAGTGAAAAGAAGATAATTGCCGATAATAAACCAAAGAGTTGCGAAAAGATCCAAAAAAGACTTAAAACTAAAATTCCGCCATAAGATATATTTTTAGAATAAAAAGTCGAATAAAAAAAAAAAAATTTTTATACATTTTAATAATAAAACTTACCGGTCAACCCATGAATCCCTTCTTATTGGTTCATTATTATCATTTTGATTTTGTCCATTACGTCTATGATCTCTGGGATTTAAATGTAAATATACGTTTACTGGGCATGCAACTATCACTCGGATAATGTACAGTATTAAAAATACGTTAAGAGGTCGGTCGCACGACCTGTCGCGTAATGCTGATATCACAAGAATCGTAATTGTGACAACAACCTATCATTAAAATTGTTTTTAATAGAATATATTAGTCAGAAAACCAGAAAACATATTTTTTTGTTTAATGAAGCTTTATCTAATGGTTAAGACAAATAAATTATTTATAAAAAGTAGGAATTTTAGAAATTTAGAAACAAACCTGAATAACGACCAATATGAGGGACATTATTAGCAACACCTTGGAAGTTCTAGAAATAGATCTAAAGTTTTCTAAGATATAGCCCCACCAATTCCGTCGAACCTGCCTTGAGCCTGGAGCTGTCGCTCTCACAGACGTAGTGGCAAGAGAAGAAGAATTTGGTGTAGAGGACAATACCGAAGATAAAACGGCAGACCTCGTCGACTGTCTTTGAGTTGGCATTGAAAAGACTTGTTGAGAAGAATCACTATTATTGTTAAGTGGAGTCGGTAAACTACCTATTGAAGTTGTGGAAGATTCAATGAGAGAAGAATTTTGTGAGTATGAGGGAGTTACAGTCGAAGTTCTGTCGACATTAGACGAAGTATCGTGAGGATTGTTGTCCATATGGATTGTTATAGAGAACAAATGCTCGTGTGAACAAAGAGTTATTATGTTCTGGACTTTATAAGTGGCTTTTCTTGTGTATATTTGTCACGAGACTAATATATTCTGTACTCTATATAGTTATATTAGTGTATACTTACTTGATAGTCTCGACAATGTGCTATTTCTTTATATTTTATAAGCGTTATTCGTTATTATTCTTATTTCTTAAATTTCTTCAATCTTATAAAGTTCATAGATAAAGTATGGCTGCAAAAGAAAAGCTTAGTCTCTTTTTTGTTTCATAAAAAAAAAGAAACGTGTATTAAGTAGTATAGACTAAAAATGTAGGACACGATGATTTAATTGCGTTAATACGCACCATAATTACTAATTTAGAAATTTATCCTACATTTGTTACAAGGGAAAAAGAAGTATTTTTTATCACGTGCAAAGTTATTGTTCGCAAAATCGATAATATTTGGATACCCATCCCACATGCCCATATACGTGCGGTGTTGGTAAATATCACTAGACCGTTCTAGTGATTCAGCTCCAGTGACTTCCAATGTTCACTAGAAAAAAAAAATAAAATTATTTTATTCTTCTAGAATAGCCAAAGATGATTCAGGTAATGTAACAATTAGTTTCATTCTAATTGTCACCTGGCTTGGGTCGCCCAATACAGATTGGGCAAGTTTACGAAATACAGTTTCGCCCCCGGGAGGATACACAATTTAAATTATTGCGTCAGCTTATGCTAAAATTAGCATATGCTAAAATTTGTGACCTATATATATACTAAAATTCACAATTTCAGCATATCGATATATTTGCCACAATAATTGTGTCTCGAAATAACTTCCCCGGATGTTATTTCGCGTAAATACGGTATTAACCTGTGATTTGAGAATATGTAGAATGAAAACCTGAAAATTTAGTTTTCACTATAGCGATATGGGTGTTACGTTTAAACTAGTCTTTTTACATATAAACAATTTTGAGTAAATAGTAGCACACGTAAAATTTCAAGTCCATTTTTTGAATCTTTTAATTATATAATTAGCTTTTTATTTTCAAAATAGGCGGTTATTTTAATATGTAACACCCCATATTATGTAAATTAATCGTGAGATCATATTTGCGATAACGCATCATATATCCGAGTTGTCACTCGGCTACTTGGCAATCATTTAGCCGAAATGGCCAAATATTTGTATAATAAAAGCTAGTAATATGATTGGTTAATATTTGTAAGTTGGCTACGTAAAATTTTGCCAACACTGATATACGTACTATGTCACTTCCTATTATATATGTTATTTGTACAATTCTTTAGGGCAATTTGTTACTATATACTGATATATATATATATATTTTATATAGTTCTATTTTTTAAATAATTAATGCGGGGTATCCTAGGTAAAAATGTTTTACTTTCCACAAACTTTAACTTTAAATGTTAACCTTAACATGAAAAATTTGCATTGTAAACGTACATAATTTATACGTAAAAACAGAAAAATCTAAAAACATAATATATAAAAACATGATACGTACGAATGTGCAAAACCACCATAGGTGCATTTTACAATAATTGATTTTTTTAATATACAGTGTGGGACAACTTAAGATATCCAATTTTTATACGTACGTATATATATATATCGATATATAGTAAATTTAAAATTACGTATCGGTATTATTTTTTTAGGAAAAAACTAATTATAACACTATGTGCATATACATGGGTATTAATTTGCAAATCCGTGTAACAAAATTTTAAAAATTAAACCCTTGCTTATAGTTAGGGTAAGGGTGAGGTTTGGGCTGGGGCGAGAGTTAGTTTATACCAAAATTTTGCAAGGAATTTTTTTTTGTTAGAACAAAAGGTGGTTTCATAACAGATAATCGAAATTTTGAGAAACAACAATACCCCCGTGTATATACATTAGCGTACAAATAGTAATTGCCTTTTTTAAAACAGGTTAAATAAAAATCCCTCTTTCAATTTTATTTTAAAAAAGTTATAACAGTTTAAAAAATGAGCTTTAGAAATTGATGCTTATACTGTAATATAGTGTAGAACGGATAAATATCCATGGCAATACCTATCAGGCAGGGTCGGCAATGGAGCCAATGGAGTTAAATGGTTACGTGAATGGAGCTCAAAAAACTAGTATCCATTGGCTCCATTCAGAGCTCCATTGGCTCCATTCACAGCTCCATTGCCAACCCTGTTATCAGGCCATGTCAATCTTAACGTCAGCCAAAGTCTGGTCCTTCTGAGCTTTAACGCACGCTGAGGAAAATTCTTAATTTTGGTTCTTGTCCATCATAAAAACCAAAATTTTAGAATTTTTACGCGTTTTGATTGGTCATATATTACGTTATCTGCAAATTCCTATTAATTTGATTGGTCCCGAATTATAAAATTCAGCGTCCCTGATTTATAGCAGATTGCTTAGCAAATACAGGGTACTTCTACCCTTGAATTTTTTTTGCGTTAGATTGGTTCCGTTACTATAGCATTTATTTTCATAAATCTTTTATATGGAATGTCACAGAGCATTGGCCGAAGTTGTGACGAACTCAAAAAAGAATACGACGCTTGTTTTAATAAATGGTATTCAGAAAAATTTCTCAAAGGAGACTTACGACCCGAATGTGAAGAAATATTCAAAAAATATCGCGACTGTGTTCTGGTAATTGTATCCTAGAATTTCTTTAGTCAGATCCGTTTATCAAACTTAGATAGAATTCAATATATTCATTTAACCCGAATTATCAAGAATGCAGTAAAGAACAAAAACATTGATAAATTGTTGGTTGAAGCACGTAAAGATGATCCATTTTCTTCCGTCGCCGAAAAATAAATAAAATTATCTAAGATTCTATCATCCCAGCATCTTAAGTAAACTTTTACCCATATCACGAATTTTAAGAATTTTAAAGATTTAAGTTATTCTTTTATATGTAACGCTGGAGCTTGTTTTGTTTCTTTTTAGATAAACGCCTCATTATTTCAAATACAATTCCTCTCGTTATAATATAGCATAATAAATATCTTGAATTACGGAATTATTAAACTTCAACTCAGATATATAGTATTCTCTCGATGTAAGTTATAGTGCCGATGACTTCACTATAACAAAAGCGAATTATGTAAAGATGACTAAAAAAAAATCAGCGGAATACAAATTTGTAACACGTCACATTATTCGAATAAATAGTATACAATCATTATGTAATTATTCGTAATAGTTAATAATATATAATATCAATTCATAGATTACCAGACGCGTGCTTTAATAATTAGATTAATAATTCAGTTTTAGACCAAAAAAGAAATCGTATTATTATGTTAATCATAGTTATAAAACTCATTAGTTGATCAAATTAGGATCCATATTGCTCAAAGTTAGATCAATTGTGGTAATATCAAATGATGTAAATAATAAAAGTAGGCATAATTATAGTATGCATAGAATTTGGATGTGACAATTATTTTTTCTTATTATAGGAAGCTGCCGATTTCCTATTAGCGAATCCGCTCTAAAAAAAAAAAAAAAAAAAAAAAAAAAAAGCATATATATAATATAGATTAGAATTATATTATAACACGTAAATACAACAACAAATAATCGGTAAATCAGTCTCTACCAAGCCTATTTCAGTCAAGTCTTCATTAATGTCACTGTCACATAGCTTGCATGACACGGAAGGTCGTACGGCACTACTGTTAAGGATATAACCGATAAATAAAATAAAAGAATCAACTTGATCAAAAGATGCTAAGAAAAGGATATCTGACATTTTTTGTTTCTTTACTTTAACTTCAACCTCTTGTGTCGTCCTGGTCCGCAATCTTCGTTGTGTATGAGTCCTCATAGTGCCGTCCATAGCAACATCTTTAATTAAATCAATTAAATCGTTAAAATACTTTGGAATTTACCCAGTAAATTTTGAATGCAAAGTGATTATAAATTTTAAATACCATTATGTATGTCATAACTTTCATAATCTTCTGAAAGTTTTCTTTTTCTTTCTTCGACTTCTGCAATTAATCTGTCATTGACTGCTTGACGTTGCGCCTGAACAAAATATCATAATTATTTACTTGTGTTATCAATTATTTTGCAATTCATAATGAGATATACATACCTGATAAGATTCTTCAAGACGTTGTGTTTCGGCTTCATATTCTTTTTGTATACATTGACGTTGATAACTTAATGCCAATGCATGCTGCTCGAGCATTTGCTCTCGCTTATCAATAATTTGTTGCAGGCGTTCTTCGAATTCGGGATGCGTACCTAAAATATTAAGGATTCAAGATGGTGTCAATGATTGTTCATATCATTTAAGCATCTAAACATTTAATTTATATACCTTCTCGTATAGCCTTGATTTCTTCATCGATATGTTTTAATTGTTCATTAAATATCCTATAAACACGTCACATATTGAATAAAAGTGAATGATTTATGAATGCACCTAAACACGTCTGGTTGTTGAGAGGATTAATTTTTCAGGATCTTTTCATCTAAACCTTAGGTGTTTGTGGTTATTGCAATTTGCGGGAATTGTGACCTTCTGATAAAAAGACGGACCCTTTACATGTCATATAAAGGAATAATGAGATTTCATAAGCATAAACAAAAAATGATACATACTCATCACGTTTCTTTTTGAACTCCGCTTCTAAGGCATGTAACCGGAGTTGTATGGTGTGTCGGGTTTTTAAAGTATCTTGGTCAAGTTGTGCACGAGAGTTTGCTAAAAGAAAAAGTATGAAAAACATGATTTAACAAAATGTAATTTAGCAATCGAGGATACAACATACTTGCTGAAGATTCTGCATCTTCACGCTCAGTCTTGATTCCTTTAATTGCCTCATCTTCTTCGGTCTTTAATGTTTCCACGGCAAACTGTGAGTCACTACCATCCAAAATTGTGTCTTGCATTATAATATCATGGTCCTGAGTCTGGTCACCGTCGGACGACTCTCCCTCGTAATAACTGGTGGGTTTCGTTGTTGTTTGACGCGGCACCCGCTTTGTTTTGGTATGGGAATTTTTATGGTCGGCAGGCATTCGCTAAAGCAGGTAAAACTGTATTAATTATCGAATAAGTTTAGAAAAAGAGTGCGGTGGTATAAGTTCGGGTTTTTAATGAAAAAGTTAAATTTTGTATTATAAAAATTTTTGAAATATTTATCCTATTTTAGAGCTAAAAAAATCACATGTATCAACATGGTCAGACATTCGTATGGTTGCTGATGTAAATCAATTGCCTGGGTAAATTATTTATAACACTTTATATACTGTTATAATTATAACGATAACTGATAACGTTAACATCACTATACTATTACTAGTTATACTAGCTATATTTCGGTTCCGATAAAAAGTTTCATTCATGCTAGGCTATATACACATCACTCTGACATCTGGATATAACTACATCATAGTAAAATCTTTCTACTGTATATCGACTTTTTTTTCAAGATTTTAATATAAAATTTTGGTATAACTCACTGTATCAACATTTTGAATTTTACCAATGAAAAAAAAATTGTCGACATTTCCAGAGTTAATTTTTGGTTCTTACAAAAAATAATTTGGCAACCCGTTTTTAATTTTCAAAAAATTTATATGTATATAAAAAACAATGGTTACCATTTAAAGTTATACTTATTTTTTTACTAAATGTTGGGAATTATGGTGAATATTAGATCATTGGATTTAGAGTACTTTATGTAAAATAAAAAACCCTTATTTCTAACTTAAAGTTAATTCAGGCTGGTTGGCCTAAAAAAAATTATAAATTTGGTCAAATATTTACCATAATCTAAATTGTTTGCTTAATACTGTAATACTAATTACAGGAGCGACCGTCGATGTTACACGACTGGTTTTTCACGCGGTGTGAAACACATAAAAAAATTATTTTACA